CATCACGGCATATGCCGGTTGTTATAATTCCCACATAAAAATTGCCAGAGAGCGAATTCTGTTTCCTCAACGTGGTTATCAGTATAAGAAGGCAGACAGAGCAGAATTTCAAGTAATTGCATGTTTGTAGTCAGAAAACCTACAGTTTCTGGGTTGTGCTCGCCTAACCTAGTTTGGTTCGACCTGTATAAAGCAGACACTTCTTCTACAATGGCCTCGGTTTTCGACCTAATACAAGTGAGCCTTCAGCATATGGTTAATAAAATGAGCTATGGTATGCCCTCATAGATACAAATAATCACTCCTCGTTCTGGCAAAGGTTTTCTTAGCAGGTTCCTATCTAGTGGTTATTTTGATCACCTTTCAAGTTGTATTTAATCGTCCGAAGGTTCGGGTCTGAAGCTCCTTTCAACTGTCTCTCAGCCATCACCACCAGGTAAGTCAGTGATTTTGATGCCACCACAACCACCACCACCAGGTAAATTTGTGTTTTGGAGGCCATGCACTTTTGAGTTGTATTTCAATCCCGGAGGTTCGGGTCGGAACCTCTTTCTAGCAAATTCTACTCTCTCGCAACCACCACCAGGTCAGTCTGTGTTTTGATGCCATGCACTTTTAAGTCAACTACTCCTGGAGCTCTGTCGCTGGAGTTCAGACCACGGTCGGCAAACGCAGCAAACCCGCCTCCTATTTGGCGTGGTAACTGACAATGTACGTCCAATTTCCCTTCTATAGAGCATACTTGCCTACCTTCTTGGTTCAGACCGAGCCAGGACTACTTGTTCTAAGTCGCCCCAATCTCAATGGTGATGGTTCGGCCGACGATATATTTGTGTAGCATACGACAGGCAGGTGGCCAACATGGTGCGCACCCTAGAATCACAAGGCATGGATCCCGAAATATGTAAGCAATCTATCCTTCCTTTATTTTCGGCTTGCTGAAAATTGATAGCGAACAATGGGATCCTCCTTCACACGGACATAGAGCGCACCATTGCGGTTGGATCCGCGTTTTTCGCAACTGCAACACTCATTGTCTTGGACAGAACCGATACTGATGTAGAGATGTTATATGTTTTACATGCATTAGAAAATGACACCGCTCTGACAGATCCGCTCTAACTATATACCTATCTCACAATATTCACTGTATAACTCTAGAAAGGAAAAAAAAAAAACCATAAGTGCGAGTTTGCCGGGCCGTGCCGCGGCCTTCACCCCCAAGTGACGAAGTGACGAAGGTGGGTACTACTCTCCCGTAGTTCAGTTTTGACTCGATCTGACTCAACCTGTAGCTATTTAAACACACGTAGAAATAGGCTACTGTAGAATACTTCCCTCTGAACAAGGAGATCTTTCCCCCGTTCTCTCTTGTTTCCAAGTTCTGATTTTGTGTGCTTCACTCCGAGAGGACACGAAGCTTCACACACTCGAATGTGCATCACAATTTGATTGACCATCGATTTTACGCAAGGCCAACACAAGTCAGAAGTCTTCCCGCAACAGTATTACAATATACCTGCTAGGAACTAACTCTAACTCTAACTCTAACCACTAACCACTAACTAATAACCACTAACCACTAACCACTAATCACTAACCCTAACCTCTAACCACCCGAACCTAACCGGCCGCTGCGCGGTGTTGCGGCATCAATGTGCCGCACTTGAACTGTGCTGTGTCCATTGCATTTGAGTAATCCCGCTGGCAAGGCTGGCCCACATCCACTGGCACATTTGGAGAACAAGATTTTCTCGAAATTGGGCAGTGTCTTGCTGCGCGCTATGCCGAGATGGAGTGGAAAAAAGGAAAGATGGGAGTGGGGGTATAAAAGTACATTTGGTTGTCGTGGATCATTATAATCACAATACAGCTCGTTTCTTGGGATCTACACTAGGCCCGGTGTCCAAAAAGCCCCACATCATCTCCGGACTCGTAATGATCTAGAATGCGCGGTATAGTTCATAATAAGCGGCAGATGTGGGAAAAAGCCCAATGCGACGAAGATGGGACTTGATCCTACTTGATCACTGAGAAAAACCTGTTCGATGGGATTATAATGAGGTGAATAGGGCGGTACTTAGGTACTCGATGCGGCACCCTGTTCATCCCGTTAGTCAGACACACATGGCAAATTGAGTGGTTTCGGGGGGCCCTGAAACGTTCCGAAATTATTAGTTCAAGGACCAGTTACTCGAGTCTTGAAAATGCACCTGAAATGTTAATTATCTGCACGCCCGAAGCTGGAGCCGAAACTACCCGATTTGGGTATATTTTCGGCACCTCTGATTTGTTTAATTTTGGATGCAGTTTTAGCCCACCTGAAGCTGCTCCCGAAACCAATAGTTTCAGGAGCACTTCCAGCGTGCCGCAAGCTTATTGTTTCAGCAGCCCCGGAGCCAGCGCCGAGAACAATAAGTTTCGGATCCGGGTTTCCGGCGTGCCGAAACTGATTCTAGGCCGGCCTAGAGCACTCTAGGCCTAGTTTGCGCAGCGCTGAATCAGGTGCCGAAGCTTTATTGTTTCAGAAGCCAGTCCCGGGCTTGCCGAAACAATAGGTTTAGGGCAGGCTAAAGCTGCTCCATAGTTTCAGGAGCAGCTTCAGGTGGCCCTAAATGACTTCTGAAATCAGAAATTTCAGACATGCCGAAAACATACCCGAATCAGGTAGTTTCGGCCTCGGCTTCAGGCTTATGGAAACTTTATATTTCAGTTATGTTTTCAGGTCTATGTATCTGGAGACCTAAACTAAAGAGTTCAGGAATGTTTCAGGGTGCCCCGAAACCTCCCAATTTGTCGTGTGACAGTATGGGGAGACAGCAACGACTTCCATACCAAATGATTCCACAAGCTCACGTATCTCGTCGGAGTGATGAATTTACCTGCGTACAAATGGACTATAGTCACTATACACCTGCACGTGCTCCCCGACAGGTGATCTCCCCCATAGCCGTGCATATGCCCAGTCATCTTTCGACATTTCATCAAGGGGAACCAAGTAATGTGCCGGGTATTCATGGAGAAAGTTGCCTTCCTGGAGTCCCGGGTCACGCTCCGAGGCCATCTTCTGTACACGCTTCACGCTCAGGCCTGCTTAGTCTCGGTGCCAGCCTGCCACGACATCCCAGTTTGGGAACCCTGTCGTGACAGTGTGGGCCGTAACCGAGACTTTAGCCGTACCTCTGCGCTATGCCAGCGATCTGCTAGCCAAAATGTTCATCACTCGGCTATTTTCACTGCCACACACCAAGTTCAATGGTCTATTTGGACCTCTGCGGCAGTCCTATTGGGATTTAGAGTATGCAGAACATTTTCAAATGCATTTGAATTCATATCTCTCTCCAAGATTTGATGTAAAACAGTGAGGAAATGGGCAAACAAGGCCGTTCAACAACCGCAAAATCATAGCGCAGAGGTACGGCTAAAGTCTCGGTGGCAGGCTGGCACCGAGACTAACATTGACTGTCATCCTAGTCATTTCAAAATTTATTATGTGCGCCAGGGACCCGGTCCAACGATCTAGTGAGCATAAATAGGGTGTAACTGGCAGCTATAAAGACTGGTCGATGGAGGCCCACCCATTCAATCCAGACACTTATTTGTGCTCTATCCCATCGAAATATGTGCAACTTCTCCAAGCTCACCTTCTTCGTTCTCGCTGCTGCAGCCTCCTTCAAGCCGGCGCTTGCTGGCCCCGCCAATGTAGGTCCCGCCGCTACGAGTGGCAAAAACTTCAGCTAAAATTCCTGCAGCTCGTCAGTCGTGCGGCAAATAATGTTACCATTGCCAGCCATGGCCCAGTATGCTCCAGCTGTTCCTCTCGGAGGTTGTTATTTTGATCGAGGGCTGTTATTTTAGATCTCCCCCGAAGTAATTCTTGGTGAAGTGTGCATGGATCCCAACTTCGGAAGCTGTGGTAACATGAACTATGGAACTATCCCTACGGGATGCGTCAATCTCCCAGCCGGATGGAACGATGTCATCAGCAGCGCTCGAGCTGTCGCTGGTGTTATATGCACCTTCTTCGCGTCAGTATCTCGCGTATTTTATTATTTGAGAACCTGACCGCTCACAACATGTTATAGCGACCCGTCATGCACCGGAAGGAGCGTTGTTATTGCCGGCGATGTTGCTGACTTCCGTCCCATTGGGATGGATGACCAGACCACGTCCCTTTCTTGCGTCAGCACTTGAGGACAATGCATCGGTTCTATTAGGTCGAATTTTGTGTCGTAGTCCAGTCTGCAGAAAGATAGTGTGAATATTTGAGTCCCCATGATGTTTCCTTCGTCCAAGTACTGCCGACTTTCTTTGAAAAGGACGACGAATAGGGGCTGGATGGACTTGGTTGAGCTCTGGAAACTCCGTCCCGTTTCCAGGGATCAACGTCGATGGCATAGAATTCGACAGTTGTAGAAATATCTGTTTTCAGTTGAGCTGTTGTGTCAATATCTACCAGCGCCGGAATTGACTTGCCAGTTCGAAGGCCTCACCCCTATTAAGAAAGGGGGAAGTATTATTCCCTCTCTCAACTATTCATAATTCATAGGAAAATCGGCCGCCTCTTTTGCGCCTCTTGGCCGGTTCATTTATGCGGATCCCATCATTGTTGGGAAATCAGATTTTTTGATCGCAGATCCCCTTGGACACTGGCAGGGAAATTGAAAGAAATTACCAGCTTCCTAAAAACTTAGGTCGCAGTATCGAACCCTTCATCGACTGGAGCAAGATTGATGTTCCTGCTTCTCAACTTGAACAATCCTGCCGCTGAGTGTAGATCACTCAAGCTTCCCAGGCTTCCCTTGCAATCTTTATCTTCGCTTGCAGCTCCAACCAGGGGTGCTCCATTGCGCCGGTAGGCAGTGTTAACTTGGGTCGATTTTTCATAAACAGTGAAAACAAAAGGCGACACCAGCCAAGCGCAGACTTCTGTAGAAAATCCTGTTGCCCGCTTTCCTCTCGATTCCGTCGTCACCCACCTCGACAAGACAGTCTACATGGCGTCGGTGGGGTAGTGGTAACCTGGGTCGTTGCCAAAAAATAAACATTGCGGGTTCGACCCGCCGGGGGTTCGATTCCCTCCCGACGCATGTAACTCTGTTCGCGTGGAACGCGTGGCTGATCTTTTTTACGCGATGTTTCATCTTTCACCCCTCAGGTACGCGATAGCTGGCCCATCACTCGACAGCGTGGCATGGAACAGGCGGTTCGCGTGCTGTCTGACCCCCAAATCGTACCAAGTCGCATATTCCCGCAGAGTCTGAGGACAGAGTGAAGTGGAACGGCAGGTCGAGCACATAAGTCGATGTTTAAATGATCAGAGAGAGCCTTGGCCCATAGGCAATGAGGCCGGAGACTTAGAATCGGGGTTTTGTGCGTTGAAAATATGCGGCAGACGGAACGTTCAACGAAGGCGATGGAATTCAATTTGAATACGGTGATCGAACCGTGGGACTATGCACTTTCTCAGATGTCAAACCCGATTTGGAGATTGATGGTGGGAGTGTAGCGGCAGGTTTCAAACTCCGCCCCGCAGAACGACAAGGTGTCCTGTCAGCCGGCTCGGTAACGGTGTTGGTGGGCGTTGAATAATAATCAATAAATAACTAAAAAAGGAAAGAAGGGAAAGGGAAAGGGAGAAGAGAAGGATTGAGTTCAACCCTTCGTGCATTGTCCTAGGTCAGTGTTTAGCTTCTGCCATCCTCTAGCCTACAGGATATTTTTTTTGTGTTATGCGCCGGCTCGTTTCTGGCGCCCTGCGAGACAAAACCTATGTATTTAGGCTGTTGCAACAACTTCAATACCAATGGATGCCATGTGTGTGTTCCTTTACTAATACTAGCACTTCAGTTGAATGTTGAACCAAAGCCAGCTTAATCCAGTTGCTATGCGTGTTTTAACGTAACCAAAACAAGGTGGTTTGAACATGGTGCCTGGCCTTGAACATGGCCAGGAATATTCTAAAACCCATTGAAATCATATTCGAGGACGATACAGCTGCTAAAGGTGGTTCAAACACCAGTCAGCTTGTGAGAACCTGTTCAATGCTCCTCAGCCATATTCAACCTAGAAGCCACAAACACTATCAGCTGGGGTCTGTAGCCTCATAATATGTGTTCCATCCCATATCCGACCCCAAACTCAGCTCAATGTGTACCTGTTGAATTTCTGAATGAAAATCTTTGTAATTTGGAAATGACATCAATTTGCTGTGAGTTGGTGATGAAAAAATATGGGATTGTAGGATGCTCTTCGGAGATGCGTTTGCGAAGGACAGACACCATCATATCCATGAGGGCATCCGGGATCATCTTGTCCGAAATCTTGCATGCAAAGTGAAGTGTTTTGTCTCCTGGCAACGATTTGAGAGCCGCATTCCATCCCAGGCTAAAAAATCTGCGGGCCGACTCTTCCGCGGATTAATCCAATCCTCTGCTGCGATCTATCTCTGTTGACCATCGACCATCTCATTGAGCCAATGCCAAGTTGGTATGATCCAAACTGGTAAGCGAAACCCTGGGTATTGTGGATCCAACACTGATTTGTGTCCATCCAGGATCGCTTGGCACGCTATCCGTTTAATCTCGTCAACCAATTTTGGTGGTGGTAGTGGTTTTTCCTTCAAATAAATGATTGTTTTTGCTACGGTGGTCGGTGCCGACTGCGAGAAGCATGCTATGGCCACAGGAAACACCAATCACACCAAAGATTGGGAGGTTTCTGGCCGCCCTGAAACGTTCCTGAAACTATTAACCTCTCAATTTCCCGTGTGAATGCATGTGATTTGTTTGGGAGCTGGGCATGCAGAAAAGCGGGGACACTGAGGGTGTCCTTCGGGAAAGCATTGGTGACTTCTAGTGGAATTGTGAATTGACGCTCGAAAAACGCGTCAAGTTCAGGTGGTGGGGAGGTCGGATATGTTTTGTTAACCCCAATCCAATCTTGTGCGCGAAATACGGGAAGTTCGTGGGTTTCGAGAATGTGTATAATGTCTCGCGCCGCCATCAGAGGCCAAAACGGAGGCGACCAGAATAGAGGTAGTGCGGTGAAAAATGGTGTCTGTGTGTGTTTACCAGCACGTGCTCCCATTTGCCCACCGCGGCGCAGCAAACAGTTTAAGAAATTGAATAACTTTTTTAAGACGCGCGGCTGCTGGGTATACAGATTACCCTATGTTCGTTTTCCGCGTCCCTCGGGAACCAAAAATCAGAACATAGGTTGTTCATGGAGTAACCGGGGACTGAAAGTGATGAATTATGTCGGAAAAATCGGGGATGGAATATAGCGGATCATATGCGCTCATAATCCGTCGTAAGGCCGTAAGATTATGGCCGGCTTGTAACAGACAGGTAAAGTTCATGTAATCAATCATAAGCCACACCATGGCTCATAGGTGCTTAGGAACTTACGACGGCTCGTCAACCGTTGTAACCAGCACGGTAGGCAGCCAAAAAAAAAAAATTATATATATAAATACTCGACATCTACAACCGACTTTATATGTACAACAACAGGTTGCTGCGTAGCTTCATGGTCGGGGACAGCGAGGGAGCGCTGCGAGCTCGCGTTGTTGAATAGCGGGAGCTGGTCCTGAGTGTAGCATTAGAATACGGTTGATAAGGGAAGCACAACACGTACGTACCTTCAAGAGTGCCCGGAATCAATCTGGAAGGAAGTAACAATCAGTTTCGTATGAATTGGAGTACGGAGACCACGCACCCGCATGAGATCAAGCACCCGCGGCAGGCTGTGGAGAGATATTAGCAGTTGTCGCTGCAACCGAAAGGTCACTCACCGATGAGGGGGTGGCGGTGGTGGGCAATGGCGGTGGGCAATGGCGGTGGTGGGCGAGGGGGATGGTGGTTGTGCGAAGGGAAGAGAGGTGGTGTCACTGTGTCACAGTGCTGCGGTTGATATAGGCCGGGTGACATCACCGGCTCCACTCGCTCCACCCATTGACGAAAATCGCCTCTACCTGCGACCGGCTGCGCGCGGAGGACGACGGCGGTGTGGGACACGCTTACACTTACGCACCTGCGCACGTCCGCGTGCGTGCACCGTCGCGGCGGTGCGGCAGATTGTACTGGGTGGAGAAGGAGGTGCTGGTGGCGGTGGTGGGGAATCGGGTGCTGGCGTGGCGCGCGGGGCTTGTGGGATGCGGGGGAGCTGCGCACGCGGAATGTGCATGGCAGTGGGAAGAAGACTGAGGCCGCGGCGCTTCCTGGCGGAGGAGGGCCGTGGCGTGCGCGCGGGCGCGAGAGGGAGCAGTGCACATCTTTGGAGCACCGCGATGTATTCTACATCGTAGATTGTCTTGACGCAGACACGTTTCCGCCTGTAAACGATTTGATTCGATTCGACTCGAAGAAATTTGTATGATTTCAGCTTTCATTACAGCAGTGAAGTAGAAAATACCGAGTCGAGCCTCACCAGTGCTTCAAAAGCCCTTATATACCTCACGCAGCTTATATTGACTTGAGATGGCTTATAACCGCCCCCCCGCGAGGTTATAACTCATCACAATCCGCTTCAAGCCGGTAAGCATGCTCAAGCCGTTACAACCCAAACAGGGTTTTTCCGACATAATAAAAAAGGCTTAGACACGGATTCGAACCTGCGTCCAACACAAAACATAAGCCACACGCGGCATTAATCATTTTGCAAAGTTGGCTACAAAGCCCACGTTCTTATCCGTATTACACTAGACCTCCCTCCCCGGACCCACAACTTATCCGAATCCTGAGCCTGGGGTCGGGTACCAAATTCTGATTTCTTATCCGAAACCGACCTAGGTTTGGGCCGATCTTGGGCATGTTTTATCCAAATTCAAAATTTCGGCGGACAGGCATTTTAGGTGATTATCAGGGGTCCTGGTGATGGCTGGTGGTGGATTTTTTGATTGATGTGCCCCAGATTTCAGACTCCGCAGCCGGAGGAACTCAACAGAATTGATCCAGAATTGATCCCAGAATTGATCGTGCCCTAAGCCGCCATCCCGCCCTAAACTAGTACTCTCTCACAAGTCCCGTGTAGTCACGCTCAATTGAAATTACATACCATTTTTCTCCTATCGTACACCGTCGTTGATGACTATTTTGGTCTATCTATGGCCCACAACAAGAAAGCTACACCGCCCACACTGCCTAGGGTATCCACGGCTGGCGTAGTCGAGGGCGTGAAAGATGCCAAAAGTGTCAGCTCTTCGCTCTCCTGCAGGGTCAAGCCGGCGCATGCAAAGTTGCACTTGGGTTTCTTCTTCTGCTGCAGCGCGCTCTTGAGCCGTGTAGTGTGGTGATCCAGAAAGGTTTTGAGCACGCCGCGAACACGGTGGCACGACGAAAGGCGAGGCATCAAGACGGCGGAAATGACACCGTGACAGTCACTCAAAAATGTATATTTTCCCTCAAGGGGGTCCAAAGATAAGAAAAAATGATATCACCTACAATTTTTCCGTGATGGGAAAGTTATCTTTTTGGGACGCACCCCTATCAAAAGTTTGCCGCGTCGGCCACAACGATCCAGCATGGACGGGGGGCACCATGAATTTTCTCATAGCTCCTCATAGACTATCTTTAGTTCATATGAAGTAGTTTCTGTGAGATGGACTAAAGCGAACATCGACGGGAAGATGTATCGTGACAACTTTCTTTTCTGCTCCTCTTTGTGCCCGACTCCGCCCTACTTCGCTTCCCCAACTAATTTAATTTGGCCTTCCTCCGCAGTATGGCCAACAATGCCCCTGATATTGCCGAACAAATGCTCAAGGCGATCCGTCCCCATACACATCATCATGATCGTACTGGATAGTTTGTCCGTTGTTCGGCCATCATCACCATTGTAGTAGCCAATTTGAGGTGTGTGATTGTATCCTCCACAGGAGGGAATACTCTCCGCACCAGGCTCGTCAGAACAGTGGAAGTTACGTCCTTCCCGTCGATCTCTGCAATTTCATGCTTCAACACAGCGACTTTCTATAGACCTCCATAAAATAAAAGCCACTTGTCTGGACCGAAAAACTGACCTCTTGGGAAGAAATGGGGGGAGGAAGAGAGCGGGAGAATACGAGAGACCATCATTTCTGTGGACCCAC